AGTACTAACCATGAGCCAAGTATTTGCCAAGCTCATTTTACGCCCTGTTGTGGTTGTCTCAAATTGTTGTAAACTGTAAACAAACTGAGGCACAAAAAGTTAAGTAATGTCCTCAAAGTTATGCGGCTAGTGAATGTGAAAACTCAGATAATTTCACTCCAGACTTAAATAGGACATATTTAAGAAGTATTTGTAAGATGGGTTCTGAAGTGCAAAGTAGTAGAAAACTATACTATATCTATATATATACACATATATATATATATATGGAGAAGGAGAAGAATAAAGGTAGTGCACTATCATCATTCTCTAGCTCACTCCCATTCCCATAGGGATTGTCAAAGTGATATTGTGGCAGTTGTTTAAAATCTCATCTCCTCTTATAGTTTCTTAGTTTTTACAGTATTCCTAGTGCACAACACAGTATTTAGGACATAATATTTAAATGAGAGAGGAGAGTCATTAAATGAATTAAAGAATCTAGGGGAAAGTGAGAGCAGAAAACAAGGAGAATATGCAGAAAGATTAGAGCTGTGAAGGGCACTGAAACAATTAAATCCCTCCAAAAGAACTCAGAATCAGATTGCACTCCATCTTTCCACTAACCACAAGACCACACTACTGGGTCATTTTCTCTCCTCTTTGGAATGTTGAAGAGCTTCAGGGATATCATATTCCTAACTCCCCTTCTTCCCCCCAGCACTACTTTAGCAAGGACTGACTATGTAGAATGAGGGTGCCTATTTTAAATACTGCTTTCTGGCTTCCTAGCTACAAGCTTCTGTAGACCAGCTTGTTTCCTGCACATTTAATGAAGCCCACAGGCAAGTAGAAAAGCAACATAGAAAGGAGGTCAAGCCAAGATCTGTTGTTTTCTGTTTGTTTGTTGTTTCCCCCTTTAGTAGTGTGGTTTAACTGTGAGAGCTAAGAGATAAGGAAAAACTTAAGGTACAGTCTTTATTTCCCCTTCTTAGTTTCTTTGGCAATAGGACATGGGTGTTACATTAAGGATCTGTTCATTGCTAGACTTATCTTCTTTATTTGTCATTACTGGGATCAGGGAAATAAAACTTGGAGATAGAAGGGAGGTGGGTCAGGAAAGAGAAACTCCATCTAGTTCATCACTAATTTCTCAAGTACTGTCTTTTTCTGAATTTCATGAGAGAAGACAATTCAATTATGTGTAAGCTGAATTAACCATTGACTCTCCTGCTTCTGTTAACTAATTACAGCAAGTGATTTTAATCTTCTAGGTCAGAACTCCCATTAGTACCCTATGCTCTCAAACTAGTGGGCAGAAGTATTTTGTTTTCCTGATATTGTCTTTTAAAATATTGAACCATCATTTTCAAATTGAGAGGTTTTTCCCACTAAGATCAGGTAACAAGGCCAAGATGTACCTTATCTCACACCACCCATTTTATTAATTGTACTTTAAGTTCTAGCTAATGCAGTAAGATAAAAAAAAAGGTTATAAAAGCCATACAGATTGCAAAGGAATAAAACTGTCTTTGTTTGCTGGTGACAGGATCGTGTATTTAGAAAAATCTCAAAGAATTAACAACAACAACAACAACAACCTCATGAAACGAGTAAGTGATTACAGCAGGGTTACAGGATACATGATTATATACAAGTTAATCACTCTGCAATATACCAGCAATGAACAATTGAATTTAAAATTAAAAACAATGCCATTTACATTAGCTTCCAACAAAATGAAATGCTTGGGTATAAACGTAACAAAATCTGTAGAAGATCTATATGAAGAACTGTAAAACTGATGAATAAAATTAATGAAGAACTAAATAAATGGAGAGAAATTCCATGTTCATGGAGAGGAAGACTCAATATTGCCAAGATGTCAGTTCCTCCCAATTTGATCTATGGTTTCAACCAAATACTAATCAAAACTTCACAAAGTTGGGGTGCCTGGGTGGCTCAATCATTGAGCGTCTGCCTTCGGCTCAGGTCATGATCCCAGGGTCCTGGGATCGAGCCCCACATCAGGCTTCCTGCTTAGCAGGAAGCCTGCTTCTCCCTCTCCCACTCCCCCTGCTTGTGTTCTCTCTCTCGCTGTGTCTCTCTGTCAAATAAATAAAATCTTTAACAACAACAGCAAAAAATTCATGAAGTTATTTTGTGGATATTGACAAATTGATTCCAAAGTTTAAATGAAAGACAAAAGACCCTAAACAGCCAACAAATATTCAAAGAGAAAAACCAAATTGGACAATGGAAAAGAACGCAGAGCCCAGAAATAGACCTACAAAAATATAGGCAACTGATCTTTAATGGAGAAACAAAGACATTAAAATGTAGTAAAGAAGTTATTTTTATCAAATGATGCTAAAACTGGACATCCACATACAAAACAAAACAAAAAAAACTCAATCTAGATACAGACCTTACATCCTTCACAAAAATTAACTCAAAATGAATCCCAGACCTAAAACTATAAACCATAAAAATCCTAGATGATAGAGTAAGAGAAAACCTGTCCATTGGCAATGAACTTTATAGGACAATGACTTTTTAGATACAACAGCAAAGCCACAGTCCATGGAAGAAATAATTGAGAAACTGGACTTCATTAAAATTAAAAACTTTGCTCTGTGAAAGACAATGTCAAGAATGAGAAGACAAGTCAGACTGGGGAAAAAAATATTTGCAAAAGACATTTCTGATAAAGGGCTGTTATCCAATATATACAAGGAACTCTTAAAACCCAATAAACAACTTGATTTAAAAATGGGATAAAAACCTGAACAAACATCTTACCAAAAAAGATACACAGATAGCAAATGAGTATATGAAAGATGCTCCACATCATGGATCATCATGGAAATACAAACAACGAGATGTTGTTGAAGAGCTTCGAGGATATCATATTCCTAACTCCCCTTCTTTGCCCCCAGCACTACTTTAGCGAGGAGATATCACTACACACCTACTAGAATGGCCAAAAAACAGAACACTGACAAAACCAAATGCTAGTGAGGATGTGGAGCAGCAGGAATGCTCATTCATTGCTGGTAGTAATGAGTGCAAAATGGTACAGCTAATTTAATAGACAATTTTATGTCTTCTTACAAAACTAACAACAATCTTACCATATGACCCAGAATTGTACTCCTTGGTATTGACCCAAAGGATTTGAAAACTTAAGTCCCCACAAAAACTGGAATATGATGTTTATAGAAGCTTTATTCATAACTGCCAAAATTTGGAAGCAATCAAGAGGTCCATCAGGAGGTGAATGGGTAAGAAACTGTAGCGCACCCAGACAATGGAATATTATTCAGTGCTAAAAAGAACTGAGCTACCAAGCCATGAAAAGACATGGAGGAACCTTGAATGTATAATACTAAGTGAAAGAAACCCATCTGAAAAGGCTACATACTGTATGGTTCCAATTACGTAACTTTCTGAGAAAGGCAAAACTATGCTGTTAGTAAAAAATATTAGTGACTGCCATTAGGGGTGAATGGAGGAATGAATAGAGAGCACAGAGTATACCTAGGGCAGTGAAAATACCATGATGAATGTCATTATAAATTTGTCTAAAACAATAGCGTGTGCAACATCAAGATTGAGCTATAAGGTCAACTACAGTCAACTATAGGTGATTAGGATTTGTAAAAGTGGGTTCATCAACTGTAACAAATAAACCACTCTGGTGGGTAATGTTGATAACGGGACAGCTATGTGGGGTAGCAGGAGGTATATGGGAAATGTCTGTCCCTCCCCTTCACTTCTGTGAAACTACAACTGCTCTTTAAAAAATTATCTTAATAAGAAAAACTAAGAAGCTTCACAAACCACTCAAACTAGTTCTCTTCCAAAATCAAGCAGTTTTTCTCTTTAAAAAAGCTTAGCAGTATTTGGCCTATATTTCTATAAGGCAACAAGCAACAGAAACTGTAAAGTGGCTGCCATACTCCCTAAGAAACTAACTGAGAGTCACTTGGATTTGTCACTAAGCTTACAAGGCTGTTTTTCTCAGAGTAGAGAAATATCTTTCTCTATCAAAAGTAGGACTGTAAAAAGGATTAAGAGGGCAACATGGCTCCTTATGCCCACCCAAACTTACTCAAACCCCACAGAATTTTGAGTTTATGAGCCTTAGATATGGATGGTAAAATGATGCCTATTCATGGAGAAAATACCAGAGTAGTCACAATGAAACTCATAACAGATAGCATTTAATTGAGCACTTACTCTTAACTAAATTCTTTATATCCAATGCATAATGAATACTGTTATCACCTTTATTTTACTAATGAGGAAATAGGTTAGAGAAGTTATTTCTCAAGGGCATAGAGCTCATTAGAAGTTGATTGAGGAATCAAACCCAGGATATTGTGGTGTCTGAGGCCATACTTTAAGCTAACATGTAGACTAGTTCCAAAAAATATAAAATGTTCAACAATTATCCAGAGACTAGTGCTCTTTATCTTACATGCATGATTCCCATGACCCTAAGATTTCTACATGAACACTGAGAAGAACATCATTTAAGCTCAGCATGCAGGAAAAACAAAGCCTAAGAAATACGTATTTAGTAAGTTTCCAATATTGACTCTTTTGCCTGATTATTTACTATTTTTGTTAATCAGTTTTACTATGATGTGTTTCACTGGGTTACCAACAACTTCTACCTGGATTGAAATGGCTTCTTCCAGGCCTATCAGTTCAGAGATATTATTTGAAATGTGGTTAGATTTCTTGAGCCAAAATCCAAGGGTTGAATCTTTGAACGCTATAGCCTTAGACAACCAGCAAGAGTGTAAAAATACACATCTCCGCATCACTTGGAATCCTAGAAACAGATGGTACACACAAATTGGGTAATCTAAGGAGAGTCATACACAGGCAGGGTATTGGGAAACCACAAAGTATTACATTATTATCATTCCTAAAGTGTAAGTGAGCAGTTCCCAGAATCTGGAAATAAAGAGCTCTGTAGAAAGCACTATAGCTTTGGTTAAAGGAAGCAGTCAAGTCATGGTGATGTCGCAGGGATGAACCCAGAGAAATGAATACCTGCACCATATCCTTCAGGCCTCCAGTCTCTTACCAGCTCTTGGCATCAGCCAGAGGGAAAGAGAACCCACTGATGTCATCTACATAGGTGAGTCTTTCCAAAGGACAGAGCATGGTAGATGAGGGCAGAGGGAATATCTAGAGTGGAAATGGAAGATATTCAGCACACCCACCCTGACTAAAATGACCAGACATATGCTGACATATTTTCAAATATAAATCATGGGCAACTGTTACTCATCCTGCATTTAGCTGAGTAATGAAAAAGGGTCTCATAGAATTTTAATGGAGGAAGTAAGCTTAGAGGTCTAGTTTTATCCCCTATCTAAAGCATGAGTTACTGCTAACAATACTAACAAAGTGGTCTCAAACATCCTTAGGTGTGACCATCTAAAATGATCAAGAATTTGCTTATCACTAACTTAGACAGGATTCCTTAAGTTTCAAGTGACAGATATCCAATTTCGACCACTGACCTAACTGGGACACTTCTTTGTGTGGCATTCATGTAAAGCTGAATCCAGGGGTTCAAACCACATAATCAGAAGCAGGGCTTTCTCTGTATTAGATTCACTCTCTGGCAGGATCTTTTATCATGTTGGCAAGATGGTTGTCAGTAGTTCCAATCTTGCACTCTACCCACCTCAGATGCAAAGCTTCAGCAAAATTCATCACTTGAATTTCACTGGACTGATCTGTGCCATGTTTCTATTCCTGTCCTACTGGCAGGGTTGAGGAGGATAAAGTAATTTAATTAGTTGGCCCTAGTCAAGTGCCCACCTTGAAGGTGGGTGAGGAGAGTTTATCCCATCCAAACCACCTGGATTTAGTTAGGAAGAGCTAGTCTCAGAGATAACTCAGGGAGCTATTATTCTCAGAAGGAGGGGAAATGGGTACTGGGCAGGAAAAAAAAAAAAAAAGTCTACATACTTACATGACTAGAAAACTCTTGTGAAATCTTCTTGCTGGTTACATGTATTTGTCCTAGCTCTGTCTGGTGGAATCATGGAGAGATTATCTACACCTGCTTCTGCATAAAGTTCTTCATGTATCTGACAATATCCCTCATACTTCTGTATTACTCTAAGTCCTCACTAGTCAAGACACCATCAGGAGCCTTTATCTACTCTTCATGGAATGTGTTTTCTAAATCTCATGTCATCCTGGATACTCTCCTTTGTATTCTGTGCAGCTTATCAATGGTCCTCTTAAAGAGTAGCTCCCAGAGAAAGACACCAAATGGGTAACACACACAATAATTTAATATTTATCGAATACTTTCCATTTTCTAAGCACTTAGGAAATGCTCCAAGAATATTACATATTTTAACATATTTAATCTTCACATCAATCTTCTGGAATAGGTGCCATTATTACCACCATTTTATGAGGCATTGAGAATCTAAGTAACTTGCCCAAGGTTACTTGGCTAATAAATGAAATAATTTAAATTCAAACCCAAGCAATTTTGCCTCCCATGTTCATACTATGATCCACTTCAAGAATCAAAAGGCAAAGCATTAGTGTGTAAGGTTTTGAGGGAAAATTTTTCAATCACATTAGTAAGTCAAGAAATGGAAATTCTCTCAACTTAAGAGACCACTTTCAACTATCAAACTGGCACGTTGTAATAACAGCCAAAATTAGTCAGAAATGCAAATTATCTTATGTTGGTGGTATAAGCAGTAAAATATTTCTGTGAAGCCATTCTGCATTATGTTACCTAGAGTCACAGAAACATATCCTTTAGAAATCTATAACCTATGGATGTATTCAAATCCGTAACTACCCATGATGTAAAATGTTATAAATAACAGCAAGCACCAGCAACAACCTAAACATTGAGCAATTAGAAATTGGTTAAACAAATTTTGAGACACCCTTTCAATGGAATATGAATCAATATTAAAAATGCTGGTATACGGGGTGCCTGGGTGGCTCAGATGGTTAAGCGTCTGCCTTCGGCTCAGGTCATGATCCCGGGGTCCTGGGATTGAGCCCCTCATCGGGCTCCCTGCTTGGTGGGGAGCCTGCTTTTCCTTCTCCCTCTGCCTGCCGTTCCCCCTGCTTGTGCTCTCTAGCTCTCTGTCAAATAAAATCTTTTTTTAAAAAATGCTGGTATACAATGGTTAATAATACACAAATGTTTTTTTTTTCTATTTCACTGAATGAGTTCCCAAAAAACGTTTATTAAGAGAAATTGGAGTGGAAGAGGAGGAGCTAATTATCTTTTATAAGGATTCTGAACAGAATGAATCGACATAGTAGCTCCCTCAACAATTCAATTCATAGAAGTAGGATGCCTACCAATTGTTTTAAAAAAGATTTTATTTATTTATTTGATAGAGAGAGCAAGAGAGCACAAGCAGGGGGGAATAGTAGAGGGAGAGGGAGAAGCAGGCTCCCCGCCAAGCAGGGAGCCCAATGCGGGGCTTGTCCTGACCTGAGCCGAAGGCAGACGCTTAACCATCTGAGTAACCCAGGAGCCCCCCAGTTTGTTTGTTTTTTTAACATTTTATTTATTTGAGAGAGAGCGCTCATGAGAGGGAGGGACAGAGAGAGAGAGAGAGTGAGCACGAGCAGGGGGAGGGGCAGAGGGAGACGGAGAAGCAGACTCCCCACTGAGCAGGGAGCCCTACTTGGGGGACTCTATCCCAGGACCCTGGGATCAGGACCTGAGCCAAAGGCAGATGCTTTACCAACTGAGCCACCCAGGTGCCCCTACCAATCATTCTAGATGCACATCTATTACAGAGGATGAGTATATCTGAACTGAGAGTTAACTGTGTCTGTACCCCACATTGGCTACAACCACTTTTTATCAGATTGTGTTAACCTCTGGTGGATACCAGCATCTCAAGTAAAGGAACATTCATCTTCTACCTTCCTCCAGCAGTTGTACATGAGTGAAAAGCTCTATTAGATCTTTTTATGCTACTTTTGGACAGAATTTCCAGCTTCTTTATCTCTAATCTTTTTAGAAAAGGACATCTGGAGGCATAAAGAAAATTATTTCTGTCCTATATGAGATCTTCCTCATTTTCCCTCTGAATTTAGTTGAAAAATAAAGTCCCAACCATATGTAGAAGACTTTTCCCTCTGCTGTACTAGCCAAGCCATGTAACTTGAAGCATAATATTTTTGTCTATAAAATACCATGTTCGTTGTGGAAGATGTAAAAAATAGGACCAACTTTTGAAAAATGAAAGAAGAGAAAATAATCCATAATCCTACCACTACAAGTACCACTTTTAACATTTTGTCTATTTCTGGAATTTTACCATAGAAACACATACGTGTGCTTTAGACAGAGGTGAAATCACACTCTGAATCCTGTGCTGTGGCTCTTACATAATCACTGAAATAACAAAAATATCTTTGCCTATCATTGCATATCCTAAAGCAGAAGGTTTACCATATAGATTCCAATTTGTTAAAAAAGAAAAGTTAAGGATTCCCAAATGAAGAAAACAAGAGTCTTTTGATGCTTTTGGTATGTGCTAATACTACAGTTACCACTAAAAGCAACTACAGATGAGGAATGAAAAGGGAACAAAGGGGATCTAATATTTATTATTAGTAAGATCTTTTACTAAGGACTTCACTTTCATGAACTCATCACAATCATAACCCCTTGAGGTAAGAATGTTTATTCTCCTTTTCCCATATGAAGAAATTGAGGCTCTGAAGGTTATATGTGTTGACCAAGGTTACGTTACTATAAAATGGGAAGCCAGGACAGAACTTGCTTCTGTCTGATTCCAGTCACGTTACTATAGAATGGGAAAACCAAGATCCAAACTCGGTTGTGTCTGACTCCAAAATTTTCATGCTATTTACACTTTACCACTACTTCCTGGAAATCCTTTACACACGAATTCATTTAATTTTTCGGACACATATCTATTAAATGCTTACTAGTTTTCTAGGATCAGAAACTGTGCATGCAAAACTAAATAAGCCGGACTAGGTACCTCTCTGATGAAATTTACATGCCAGAAGGGGAGACAGGAAAGAGACAAACACATGCACAACTAATATCAACCAATAGACCCTCCCTCCCTCCCTAATAGTCCCATAGGAAATGAGGTCCAAACTTTGGGCTTTTCTAAAAGGGGTCTCTGAGTCAAATAGCTGTGTCCTGGAACCATTAAGCATCAGGTCAGTTCAGACTGCAGGGCTCTCACCGGAGAAGATGAACTATTTTGGCTTGCGTTCTCCTGGTACTGGCTGACGATATGCACCCTGCACAGAGTTCAGTCATGAGGGGTTTTCCTTCCAAATCAACAGTCATGAGACTTTGGAGTCAAAAGACAGGAAAACACCATAGCCTCTATACTGTCACAGTATACGGTCAGTACACAGCATAATGCTTTAAGAGCATGAATTCTGGATCCAGACTCTGTGGGTTGAAAGCCTCCACCAGTAACACCAGATGAGAGGGCTTGGGCAAGCTATTCAACTACTCCTGGACATGATCTTTTCAATTTACAAAATGAACGTAATAACAAGGAGGAGGAGGAGGAGGGGCTCCTGGGTGGCTCAGTGGTTGAGCGTCTGCCTTCGGCTCAGGTCATGATCCCGGGGTCCTGGGATCGAGCCCCGCATCGGGTTCCCTGCTCGGCGGGAAGCCTGCTTCTCCTTCTCCCTCTCCCCCTGCTTGAATTCCCTCTCTCGCTGTGTCTCTCTCTGTCAAATAAATAAATAAAATCTTAAAAAAAAAAAAAAAAAGGAGGAGGAAAAGAAGAACTTACCTGATAGGTTATTGTGAGCAGTAAAGGAGTTGAATTATATGGAGAATCTTGAACAGAGCCAGACATGTAATAAAGGCTTTATTAAGTTCCATTACTATAGCATTGTGATATGATGCCCTGGGATCCGTGGTACCGGAACACATCTCAACATTATGAGCCCCAGAGACAACAATGTAGGCATCATTTGGGCCCTACCACTCACTGCCTGAATGATACCGAACATTTCTCTGAATTTCATTTTACTCAACCTTAAAATGGGGATTGCAACAATACCTACTTTAAAATATTATTTTGAAAATAAAATGAGATAATTTAAAAAGGTATGGAACCATAT